GCCAGCAACTGCCTAACAACCAGCAAACTGTAACCCTCCGCACTACGTTCTACTCCTAGAGGCTATATCATTGCAGAGGAGATGAAGTAGGTATAATGACCATCAGTAAGAATTATGTGCCTATGCCAATCAGCAATGCAATCCAAGGCCTTTAAAGGCTCTTGCCATTTGGGCTATAAAAATGATTGGATGTTCATGGCGAATTGACTCACAAATAAGTTTCCAGTAATAATACCCACTGAATATTTTATTGAATTGCTTTGAATGTAAAACATGTATCTATGTTTTACTCTATCTATGTGTGTTGAGGCCAATCTGTAGCAATCTCATTCTAATGCTGTGCTGATGGAGGCAAGGAATTATTTATGCCGCAAACAATAGAGCAAATTATTTGAAAGAAATTCTAGATGACTGTGATGATGTAAAAAGCATATGATGAATTGTAATCATTTTAAAGTTGCTCTCTGCAGTGAAGGAAATCAATATTCTATGACTGTGTGCTGCTTAAAATGAGTATTGTACATTAGGCTTTTCTATAATGATTAAATCGAACTATCTCGATTCAGCCAGCCATGAAAGCCTGGCACTTATCGTGTCCCTAAACCCCCCGCCAGTGAAAATATACAAAGGTACGACAAAACGAAACCACCTTCCAAATGAGTACATTTCTAGAGGAGCATGTAAAACATCTCTTCTAGACACTCTTGTTTGCAGTCTTACACCTATGCTTTGTTATTGTCTCATTAGTGCCTCATAGAAGACTTTTGAATGACTTTTGCCCCTTCCTCTGCCCAATTGAAACATAAACAGAGCAGAGGCATCTGTTATAACAAATGAGGATGTGGAAGTGTGGGACATGCTAGGCGGCCAATGTGTCACAGAAAGGTATTGAACCATGATGTGACTCATAGTCATGTAAAGTTCCTTCATAGGAAAATAGGCCAGGCTAAATGAAAGTGTGCTTTAAAGTCCATTTGTGTCTTTTGTGATTGTTCCAAGCTCTCTGCATGTGACAACAATATATGTCCCTGGTCCTGTAAATGATTTATTAACATAATTAACATAACATCATTTATTATGGTGTTAGATATGCACATACCATCTCTTTTCTTCTGTGTACCTATATGTGCAAAGGATTTGTTCATTATCACTGTTAATTTAAACAGTTTTATGTACAAATTTGAGGTATTTTGGAGTGGGTGAGCATGGATGGGTTTTGCACAGTGGCTGTCTCTGATGTTTGCTGCCACCAGGATGCGATGACAGGTGTGTGGAACTGGCTTCTCCTATCTGGAATCTCTAGAGTACGTATCTGGCATTCATATGCAGAAAATAGGACAGATGGATGTTAGAGCTTCCCAGTATAACAGAGCCAGTTGTCTCAGCCCATGTGATACAACAGAAAGGCTCATGCCCTGCCAGACCATCAATCATTGATTAATGCTTCATATGTGCCACTTTAAACAGTTACAAATATGAATCTAACCAAAAAAAAAAAAAGCAGAGCAGAGCCTTGTTTGAGTGTGGCACTACTGCACTGTTGGCATTAACATCCATTGCCAGACCAAAGTGTTGCCAGTAATAGCTACATAGCTGTGTGTGTGTGTGTGTGTGTGTGTGTGTGTGTGTATCACATATATTACATTCATATACTAGCATACTATCCCTTGTTATTCCTGAGTTCTCCTGTGTGATAATACAGTTTTTCTCGATTGTTTACACACATTTTCTGAAAGAATGCCTCATATTCTCAGAATTCTACACACAAATCTAAAAACACTCACACAATTGGCAAAACCCCTCAATTCTCCTGCAAAATGAAACTTTACATTCAAAACAATGTTATTTCTTCTCAAAATGGTATTTTGTTTCCAAATGACACACACAAACCATCATATAAATAGACATTTATAAGAACCAGTTAAACACTGATGTGCTCAATGTAAAACACTATGATCAATGGAAAACACTTCTTCTCCATTCATCATAATGACTTAGGCCTTTTTTGTTCAGTGTTACACTTACTACAGATATTACATACATAACTGTGTTGTAAAATATTTGAGAATATTGTTTTTTATACACAGAACACACAAATACACGGTAACAAATATATTTTTTTTTCCCTCAAAATCAATGGGAGATAGATCAAACATTTTGTACACCCCAACCAACACAAAGTTGCACATACAGTGGTCTACATACAAAACAACAGAATTTCTTATGCTGTTACAGTAAAAAAAAAAAAAAAAATAAATGTCTGCTGCATCCTCTCTTTGGTTTTGGTATTTTATGCCAAAGCTCTGATCGCTAATTGTAAAACTGTGTGAAATGTGTTTGCCCATGTGACGAGTCAGTTTGAATATCTGAATGGCAGTGTGTTCCTCATGAAAACAAGAGATTTTCTGCATGAAAATTGTGCCAAATGCAGAGAATTGTGTGTAGTGTTTTGAAAAAAGTGTGTTTTTGAACTGCAATTTGAGTGTAAAGCAGGAATTGTGCTTGTAGTTCAATTGGTTCAGCGGGTTGGTGAATGAGTTACATGTTGTGGTCATTCTGTCTCAAGTACCAGAAAATGTGTGTAAACAAGCGAGAAAAACTGTAATAGAAAGCCTGCCATCTAGTGGACTTGGAATAAATCTGAACTACAGAAATATTGAAGGATTTGTTAAACATTCAAGTAGGCTATATGGGAAAACGGCCTCAATGTTTTGTCAGAAAACCACTAGATGGCACTGTGACACAGAAAGCCGAATTATTTGGATCCCCCATAGGATTTTAGAAGACTTTTGTGTGTGTGTGTGTGTGTGTGTGTGTGTGTGTGTGTGTGTGTGTGTGTGTGTGTGTGTGTGTGTGTGTGTGTGTGTGTTTGTGCATCAGCCTTTTACAATCATTAAGTTAACTTTAGTTCTCTTATATATGATTGCCATTCAGCTTGTTTATTTCCACAGGCATGACAGCGATAAAATAAGTATTCTCTATAATTATAGAGAACCTGTCAGAAAAGCACTGCTAATTAGGGCTTGATAAATAAATCAAATTAGTGAAACTGGCACATAGCATAAACGGTAGGCTACACTTATTAGAGTCTCATTAGAGGCACGAATCTCATGTTTTTCGCAATGCCCCATCAGAAATATTGACTGGCTGTATCCAACAATTAAAGTCATATAATGTCTTAATTTTAATATAATCTATTAAAGATATAAATGTTTTGAATATAATATTTTGTCTTTACATAATCTGTATGCAGCCTTTTACTTCATTTTAATACAATTAATTTATTTGGCTGAATGTTTAAATTATGGTATAAGCAACATTCTCTACCAGTTGAGCTATAGAAATCATGATATTATTATTATTATTGAAAATATGTTCCAAGATGTTGAAAACAAGATTCCAAAATGAACAAACTCTTTATAGAACACTTACAACACTTGTATAGTATTTAGTTTGAGCTACTGAATTATAATTTGAATGTTAAGCAGCTCCTTTCATTGGCTGTTTGTTTTTTTAAAAAATACACATTTTGTAAGAGTTTAAGGCCTTTTGTATAATATTGGAAAGTGCTTTCAAAATGCATGTGATTCAAAACTTTCTCCTCATCTCTAAATTGAAGACATGCAAATCATAAAACCTTCACACATCAAGAAAATAATTTATCTTGCTTTTGATTAAATTCAGCCTGTGTATGAGAGGTCTCTGGCGTGCTGCTGCACAAGGACAAGGCCTTATTCACAGTACATAGCAGATTAACCGTGGAAACCGAGGTGCAAATACATCATTTCAAGGCTGTTTAAAAGAGTCTCCTTTTGAATCAGAGCTGAAACAACAGTTTCACACTCATCGAAGAGGATGTTTTTAAGGGACTATGAAAGGGATGATACAGATTTTTACAAATAAAAAGAAATGGTGACTAGCCGTGGTTGATTTTAAGGAGCTCCATAAATTCTCTTTCATTCCTTAAAATGACATATTTCAGAGTCTTAAAATATATTATAAAATAATATTTGATTTTTATAAAACTAGAAATTTATTTCAAGAAATACAATTACCTGCGCATCAAATCAACCTGTTAAGCGTGTGTCACACCTCCTTAGTTCATCTATATAAACTTGTTCTGTAAAGGTGACATTATTTTCTTTGTTGGTTTGTTTGTTTTCTAAAAGACTGACTGGTGGAACCGGCGATTACATATTTCACAAGCGCTGATATGACAAGCACAATAATAGGGGTGAATTCATTTCCATTTATTTTCCAGGTTATTGTGTCTGATAAAATGAATCTAGCAAATAGGCTGTAAGTCATATGTTGTGTTCATAGATAAATTTATGGGTTGGCAGCTGCTCCATTATGGCCCCTGTCAGCTCTCTCTTGCTCTTTCCTCTATCTCTTCTGCTCTCGTGTTATTGCTTTCTCGTGTGTCAGAGCTGAATTTCCCCCTTCTGAGCTGCTCATGAGGGCATTAATTGGATAAGGCAACACAAATCAATAGCCAGCGATGATCTTGGTCCTATATATTAATCAAAGCTAGATTTCTCAGTTCAGACTTCTCCACAGGATTATTACAAGTCTGGGGCACAAAATTCTCATCTGCGTAATAACAAAAGCATCCAGCTGTCAATGGAAGACGTCATTTAGAAATGTTAATTATCTAGTAAGGCATGCATCAAGAGCTCCGGTGCACTTTGGTTTGCTTCCAATATCTCAGTCATAATTTGTTTTCCGTGAATTTTACCTCATAATCCCTGCATGTTTACTGCCTGCAGCCTTTATTTATAATTCAGCACAGATTCTCACTTCTAAGTTTGCAGATGTCAGAAGCTCGGCAGGGGCTCCCCCTTTGCTGCTCGTCGTCTCTTGTGTTTACGCATCAGGCTGGCTCACAAACAAACACGGGTTGGTTGGAGGATCATTTTTTAAACCAACCCCCCAACCCCCTCCCTGTACACACACGTCAAATATTGATTTCCCCCCTGCTTTCAGTTGGATGTGAAACGTTGATCGCCTGCGCTTTTCTTAGAGTGTCTGATAAAAGTAATGGGTGGTTGGGTTGGACTGAATCAGTCCTCCCTCCCTTTGCCGTTTCCTCACATTTGGGTGGCTTTTGAAAACTTGATCCAAACAAAAATGTAATAATTGATGTTTGGTGGAGGCTCTGAAACGGGGAGATGCTTGGCTTCGGTTCTAAGTGCCTGGTAAGATTTTTTTAAGTTATTGCGTCGATGTTCTGAGCCAGGGGTATGTCTGAGCCAGTCCGCATCTTTTCTTTTCTGCTGCTATTATAAATCATTCATTTACTTCACTGGTACAATGGAAGATATGCTGGGCAAAAAAATAATAATAATAAAACATTTTTTAGATCATCTATATGTCTGGCCCACTGAAGGACCATTTCCCCTGTCTACTGTGGGGGTCTGACATGATAGCAAAATAGTTTTGGATGTTATTTAGCATTATTATGGTGTATTTAAATAAAGGGGTTTACAAATCAGGACCAGGGGACCCTAACGTGCTGTGGTGTCAAAAAAAAATAGAATTTATATGTACAGACTGAAGACTAGAGTAATGACTTCTGGAAATTCAGCTTTTCCATCACAGGAATACATTATATTATAAAATATATTAAATAGAAAACAGTTATGTTGAATTGTAAAATTTCACAATATATCTGTTTTTACTGTATTTTAATCAAATAAATTCTTTGATGAGCATAGTGTAACAGTATTGTATAAACTGTATATTTCTAAAATTAAAGTTGCAGTCCGCAGTTTTTCTACTTTGTTGCCATCTCTGTTTGAAATCTCAACGCATTCTCACCCCAAGGCGTCACCTTTGACCATGCTTCAATATTTGACGTTTTAGGCGCCCTTTAGCGTCACTTACATGACGCGATCCTACGGCGTCATCTAACTGACGCTAAAGGAAAGCGTCAGTTAGAGGACGCGGTTAGGTTTAGGTGTGGGGTGGGGGTAGGGTACACGCGATCCTAGGGCGTCATCTAACTGACGCTAAAGGGCGCCTAAAGCGTCAGATATTGAAGCATGTCCAAATGCTTCCCAAGGCGTCAATTAAGTGACGCCTTGGGGGTGAGAATGGGCTGGAAATCTGCAATTGCAGTAATTATCAACTTTACGTGAGTTGTACTTCAACACCCTTGACACGGCACAGCGTGGATGAACACGATGTTTGAGGAGACTGTGAGGCTGTCAGTCACCGTGCCGGTGTGGATACTGGCATTCAGAATCACAGATTATTCTTTTTTTAAAAATATGACCAACATAATAATTTTCACAGAAGAAATTTCACCTGAACAAGTAAGAAACATCCACTTTTGCTGAGGTTCTGACATTGCAGTAAATCGCGCTGATTAAATCTAACAATCGCTTATAAGTTATTATATCACGCAAAACCATTCTTAGTTCTCAAATTGTTAATGTTAACAACGTCAGCATTGCGTGACATGTAATGTCCTTCCGATATGTATCCTTGTTTTCGCCTTGTCTCTTTTTTTCTGTAGACACTCCGAAGTCTTTTTTCCATCAAATTGATAAGTTTAATTATATCAAGTGCTGTGAGAAAAGGCTATATATCTCCACCTCCAACATCCTCACGCAATATAGCCTACTAGCCGAGACTCTTCTTTATGTGTACAGATGTGACGTAATGACTCAAAGACATGCTCAAATCTCCAGTGGAAATCCACCAGTACCACTGGAATTAAAAACATAATGACAATCTTACTGCTTTGAATCGAGCTAAGGCAAGCAGTGCGTTTTGAAAACTGGTTATGTATTTTCTGAAATTTGTATTTTGGATAATGTTTAACCCCCAACAAGCTACGGACTGCAGCTTCAAATAATAAAGCATATAGTGGTCAGAATTAACTGTGTAAATGATTTGGAATGTTATTTAGTTTAAAAGGCACTCTTCAATTACATTTGACATAATATAATACATATAATTTATCTCCTGTATCTATTTTACTAGTCATATATACGGTTAACGTTGTCTTTATTATATACAAGAACATTTTAGTTTTTATATTTTAGTTTGAAAAAACCCTTATTTAGGCCATTTGAGCTGTCTTATGAACTTTGTTGTCATCAGCCATTATGTGAGCAAAACATCCATTTATCTCACAGGTCGTGCTGAATTACTCTCCACTGCATCTTAAAGAAAGCACTCCATCACATTTTTTCAAGTCCTGGCATGACACATTCTCCTCATCTGTGTTTGTTCAACCCAAGATGTGCTGGCAGATGCACCGATACAGCTCCGAAACGAGGGAAAAGAGCCATCTCCCTCCTTTATTGCCCTGCCATTCCGGCTTCTCAACACATGAAGTGCATGTTCTACCGCAACCATTGCTCTGACTCGGCAGAGCTGAGTTGACCATTGTCATTTCCCAACCCGTGTCCGAGGGCCCATGAAAAGCCTGTGAGGTCTGGGTAATAACCTTCAGAATGGCTGTGATTGCACTTCCATTCTCCACAGAGACCCAAGGCCATAACCATCAAAACGGGCTAGCGAATGGGAGTGAATGGCGATGAAGATGGGGGTTTGTTCCAAGAGGGGAGATTAAAGAATATAGCTAAGGGGTTTATGTGTACGTGTGAATGGTTGTGAGGTCTTAGCTCTATTTGGACCCTGGTGGTGGTACCTGACGCCATTAGTGACTGTTTCTCTGAGGCTGGGATTAGCCGCCCTGTGTGGAAACTGCTGACAGGTGCAAGGAGAAAGGAAATAGGAAAAGATTGAAAAAAAGTAGATAGAGAGTGAGAGATCTAATCCTAATGGACCAGCACAGATTCTGAACTCATCTAATATCGTAAAAGAAAGTAAACATTAAATGGGCTATAGCTCCCACCCGGACCAACTAACAGGAGCCACAGCCCAATACTGATAACTCCTGACCTTGACAGAAACCAGACACAAGCTCTCTTAAAGGACCTGCACTGTCACATCTCAAGCACTTTTAAATCAATGAGAGCAGCTAATAATATTAAAACACTGCTATAAAGTGTTTTAAACATTGTTTTGCCTGCTTGTTTGTTGCCCCTAGAGGGCAATGAAGGCATTAGATATTAAACTACATTGTCAAAAATCGAATGCAGAGGGAATTTACTTATTATTATGGCTTCAAGTCATCCCATAAGCCTTGTGTTGTCTTAGATGAGAAAAGCACACGCAATGCCTAAAGGTTTTCTTGTATAAAAAAAGTTTGGAGACTCTTGACCTTGCGAAGGTTACATGCTGTAATTTGCAGTCGAATGGTTGTCATTTGTCTGGATATGGCTCATGTAGTTGGTTGGTGTATTATTTCTAGCCTGGGAGAGAAGGCTACTGATCGGTGCTTTATTGTAGTGTGTGACTAAGTGGGTGGGTTGAGACTCAGACTGCACAGTTAATGGGTTTATAGAATCTTATGTTCCATGGCCAAATCTCTCGTTACTAGATGAGTGCATTGGCACAGCAATAGCCTGAAAGCAAATAAATCTGGGTATTATTTTAGCAATTAAATTGCTAGTTTAATTGTACTATATGCATATTATGTGTAATAGTTTTATTTTTGTTTTCTGGATTTTATTTTGGTGTAGACAAGTTGTAATTTCAATTCCGTCCTCTCAGTGGCGCTGTAACACAACACATTCAATCTTTTAAACAGCTAAAGACCTTAATCATTCCTTGTGCATTAATATAATGTTTTTCTGTAATTCACTATTTAGTTGCATAGTATGTTACTTCTCACACCAACTGATAAAAAACAATAAATGCTAATTGATATTAGTCCACTGTTTGTGTTGCCAATAAATCTGGTTTTGACAATATGAACTTGGCAAAGTACATGGAATCAGCATGGAGTTAATGCTCTCCCTGCTGTTATTGTTTTTTCCACAAATATTGAAGCCTGTGAAATAAACTGTGATAATGTACTGTCGTTGCATGAGTTTTACATTACATCGAAAACTTAACACTCAGTCTTATGAATTGTGGGTTTTCACACTTATACCCTCAATTAGGATAGTTTTATTTTTTTTTTCAATTGGTGTGTTTTATGGGTTGCATCACTCACAAAATGGTTTTACAGCGAGGAAATAATAGTTTTCCCCCTCCATCTTGTACTGCACTTACATTGAATTATACAGACAGAGATCAATGTCATGATCAATAAATTCTCCTATCTGTGACCGGTTGGAATAGGTGTGCAAGGGAGGAAAGTCTAAAGTCTGTAATAGTCCTGTGACAAATTGTCTTCTACCAGCACTCGTGCAGCCAGACACCCCTCTCTCCGAAGTCTTCTGAGACACAATCTCCACCTATTAACCCTGTATACTTTTGCTGTTCTTTATTAACAGCAATATGAATTGCTCTTTGCAACCCATTTTACTTCTGTAATCTGCCGTATTTTTGAATGAAATAATTGATTTCCGTGGGTGTTGCATACCAGAAAGGAGTCTGAGCGTGAGTTTACTGAACAAAAATAGCTATTTGGCTATGGGTTAACATTACACGATAGATAGAGGAAAGTAGTTTCAGAGGAGGAACAAGTTATTACAATTTGATCTTATTAGAGTACATTAAAAACCTATTTTATTTTAGAGATCATATTGAGATCACTACCACCTTAACCCTACCCATAGCTTACCCCTAAAATCAGAGGAACATTTTGCATTCTCACTAACGTTTCGGTTCCCCCAAGAAACGTTGCATTCCTTCACAAAGAACACAAAAGTTTTGGAAGTAAACGCAAAGTTTCTTGGGGGAACACAAAACATTTGCAAAATAATGCAAATAGTATAAGCATTGACATAATTCAGTTTTTATAATGACATAACAATTGAGATATTTCAAACACTATCAGAGCCCTGGTCAGAAGCACTATAGTTTATATCATATAAAGTTTTACTTATTAATTTGTTACTTTGTTATTAATCATAATGCTGGAACCCATTTTTTTTTTTTTTTACATTTTGCTTCCTACAGAGCTTGAATTATGAGAACATTTAAAAAAAAAAAAAACTATGCTGCATTACATTTTGAAACATTATGATAACAGTTTTAAGAGGATAAAACAATGTCAAATAATGTGTAAATTGCCCAGTCCAATGAGAGGAACTAATAACCATTAGCTGTAAATGTACACTATTAGTTGTTTAATAAAGTATTTTACTGTTGGAAATTGGCTTTTTACATTATAAGGCTGTAAAAGAATGAACTCATAGCATAATAGCAGCATCTGCAAATCAATACCTACTGGTGATGGTATATGTTATAAATGTTATCAGATTAACTCCCAAGCCATCTGTGTACTACTGAAAGCTAACTTTGTCCAGCTTCTAATGAAGCTTTATTCACTGCAGTGGATTGGTTTAACAGGCATTGTTAATGCAGGAAGCATCATGAATGTAGGTGGGAGGTCATTGGAAGGGCCATTCAGAGAGAGACAACACTGTTCTGATGGGAAAAGAGTGAAAGAGAGAGGGGGCGAGAGACCCACAGGGAGAGCGATAAGGGAAAAGCGGGTGACGTACCGTATACGGGAGCTGGCCTTTTATAGCAGGGGTTCTCAAACATTTTGGAGCCAGGGATCACTTACAGGGGAAAAAATCCAAGGAATGCCCTCATATTTAACAGTGATTGAGCACAAAGTTAATGTGTGAGTGGCTAATGAAATATTTTTGCACAAATGGTCACTGCAGGGTGCTATGCAGGAATTTCTAAATAGGCTATGAGGTCCCAAAAGTGATCTTGTAAGGCATCACCTCATGATCCCACCCCAAGGAATTTTTGATTTTCTTAATCTACACAAGTGTGTTAATGCCCCATAATTGGATAACTATAGCTTTAGAAGCATGTCAGTGGGCAGTGCAACGCATTCTCACCCCAAGGCGTCACCTTTGACCATGCTTCAATATTTGACGTTTTAGGCGCCCTTTAGCGTCACTTACATGACGCGATCCTACGGCGTCATCTAACTGACGCTAAAGGAAAGCGTCAGTTGCTAAAGGAAAGCGTCAGTTAGAGGACGCGGTTAGGTTTAGGTGTGGGGTGGGGGTAGGGTACACGCAGCCCATTCTACACGCGATCCTAGGGCGTCATCTTACGTCAGTTACAGTACGTGACGCCTTGGGGGTGAGAATGGGCTGGGCAGTGGCATACATTTTTTTTTTTGTCAAGATAACAGTTTAAATTTTACAATTTCAGCAGCCAATAATTCACTGTACAACACATAATTTTCCTAAAATCTGAGAATTATTTATATTTTTTATAATAGTTAAAAAAATATATTTTATTTCAGGTCCTTGAATCTGATTGTTCAAACAGCATTCAAAGATTGATGATATAACAGCACTGGGACTTTTCTCACTGTTTGAATTATACTGATATTATTACCTTGCATAGTAGTGGGGATTTTTCAGGCTAAAGTCAAGTCATCTTAATTTCTATTTTTCAGCTCAGTTCAGTGTTGACTTAGTTGATTTAGCATTAAACCAATAGGTGATGACTGATGACAAGTGACATAATGACTGAGTCATTTGAATCCTTAACTGATTTGTTGAAACCTCAACTGATTCATTTAGAACTAAACAAGTTACTGTCTTTATGAAGGAGTAATTTGAATAATTCACTTTTCCAATTTGTTAAAAAAAAAAACACTGAACCATTCAGACATGAAACATCGCTACTCAGTGTTGTGACAGTTCTACTGAGGCAAAACTTTGTTTGGAATTATTTTTGTTAACTGAGCAATAGCAGACCAAATGTTGTGTATAATCAACATTAAATTATTGTTAATAGAACTGTTGTGTGAAAGCATGATCACACAATCGTGCTTCTTCTTTCCTCCACCATTTAAAGGGGATCTTTTGGACACTCTTTGGGTCTTCCCTTATTTACATTGAATCATGCTGCATTCACTGTATAAATGTGTCTATCCTATAACAGTTATATGGTTAGTGTGAAATTTCTTAATTAATTTACCACAAAAAAAGCGAATATTTATAAATTCTTCCAAATAAGAAAACTGAACATATAGTTGGTAAAACTTAAACCACTTCTATTTCTTCTGTTAAAATTTAATTTTCTTTGATTAGCAGTCTACCAATTAGAAGACCATTTAGAGCATTAATTTGGATGCTCGTTACATGAAATTAAATCAAAATCTTCAGGTACACATTGGAGCACTCTACAGAGCAATTTGACAGAGTCTCATTATCTTGTTATTGCACAAAATTAAAGTAGATCACTAATGCAATCAAATGTATTCAGTCTGATTACCAACAATAATTTCCTGCAAGGTTATTAGATCCACTTTCAAATGCTCATTAATAATGAACCCCAGACAAAGGTATGACGTTATGGAGCCATGGACGAGTTACAACCTGAGAAGTACAACAACAAAGCACGTGTGAAAGTGTACTGCTACAGTCGTGCAGTACGGTGGACTATACGATTAGAGATGGAGGCTGACTGACAGCATGCAGTCTCTGCCCTGTTTTGATCTTTAGCCACCACTTCTCTTAAACCAAGAATTTTTTTGTTAATGTCCTCTTTCATGTCATCACAATGGGAAAGGTTGCATACATTCAAAGATAAACAAAGTTTGAAATCTCTTGATTAAAAGATTACCAATTTAAACACATTTTGTATTTTCTCCCTTCTGCTTCTTTATGAAACTTTCTTTTTTTCTGACTTTATGTATATTTTCCTATATAGCTCACGGATGCATGGAGTGGTTCAACTAGACAGTATAATAGGAAATATTTAAACACATACAGTATGTGCTCTCTGAAATCTGTATAGCAGGAAACTGCTATAGGTGAAAACACATCTGTTTCCTCTTGTGTTTTGAACATATTGTATGTAACCTGTGTGAGAACCATATGCTTTAAACATGTGTTATCATTATATTACAGTATGTGATGTGTATGATTTGCCTCAAATTACTCCTTCACTCATAGACTGGCAATTTAGCAGCCCTCCAATCATTAAAAAAGCAACTTCCATGCATTGTCAGAATCAATGCATTCAGAAATCAGAGTAGTAGACAAGTTAATGGGTCTTTTTGAAACATTTGTCAGACTGTGGAAAGAAACTGTCTCTTTCATTCAGGTTTTTTTAGCTAATGTCAAATGCGGTCTCTGTCCATCTGTGATCTTGATCAGACATTTGAGATTAAACCCACTAATTCTTATTCTGCACTGATGTGTCCTTTGAAATCTATCTACACTGAAAAGAATTTGGTGTAGAAACAATTCCTACGAGTGTCGTCCATCCATGTGCATTTTCTTCCAATTCTCTGTTAGCATGACAATAGCTGTAAGGTTGTGTTGATATGTTTTGCATGCAATGGAGAGACAACATATTCATAGAATCCTGAAGCAATTTGCTTTTGTCTGTCTTTGAAACAAAAGCCTTTAATAATCCACTTGGGCCTGTTCTTCCACACTGTGGCAATACAGTGTGAACTACGAAGAGTGCATGGAGCATATATTTCTGGAGAATGTCCATGAACATCACCCTCTAGTGAAACAGAAACTTTCTTAGCAACAATTATACAGACCTTAAATTAGCATTTTAATTAAATCTTTTTGATTGCAGTCATGTCAAGCATTAAGCGATTTCTAATTAAGAGGTGCACTGGTGCAGTTTTTGCCCAGGAAAATACAGTTTGAGTATTTTCCTCAGTTCTACTTGTAAATAAATGCAGCAGTGTGCATTTCCTCAATAAGCTCCCCACAACACAGAGACTGATGACTTCCATACCAATCAAGAGGAAATTAGAAACAACAGCTGAGGCTTTTCCCTTACACACTGTCTCACTGAATTATGGAAAGTTGTCTAAAGAAAATCAACTGAGGGAATTGTGTGAGGTGTGTCTGTATAGTTTGCTAAACTTTGTTGTGTTAAAGGTAGCCTATGTCCTGACTAA